TGGGAATTAGATCCAAAACCTGAAATTGTGCAATGCCTAGAGCATTTTTATACTACAAAAAAAAGGAAAATCTGCTTTTGAAAATTGAATTCAGAAGAGAATCTCCCACTCTTAGTTGACTCAAGTGAGGACCACGCAACCTCTCTGTCTACATGTGCTTCTTAAGACATCGGGGGACTCTGGTGGAAATTGGAGGGGAGTTCTTTTCCTTTATCTTGGCCCAGGATCCAACCCAATGGGAATGAGCAGGGAATGGAGTCGGCGATCTGAGGCATGAAAGAGGTTCATTATGAAGTGGAGAGGGAAGGCTGGATGAAAAGAAAGTGGCTTGGCCACTCTGTCCCCAAAGGCAGGGGGCACTGGGGTCAGTTGCAGACTCCAAAACAGTCAGTAATCTGTTCTGGAAACATGAAGCTCCCTATTGAACAGTGCAATCTTTCCTCAAGAAATGGAAGAACCAGCACTAAGGAAGTCAGCCCTTCTTCCAAAACAGGTACTGGCAACAGAGGGGTGGCTGTGAGATGGGCTCTGGGCCTATTGTCATCTTAGCATGAACCCTGGCCACGGAAGTAGGAATACCCTTCTCATGAGCCCGGCCCTAACTCCCTCCCGCACCAGCTGGAGTCTATCAAATCCCTGGTGTAGCTCTGAGCAGAGCAGCTCTCTAGGCACACGGCTGGTGAGGTCACCCAGGACCTGTGCTTGGCTTAAGGCGCTGCCATGGGACCCCACATTTCATTTTGCACTGATCCCTGTAAAATATGCAGTGAATACTGATGATGAGAACTTCTTTCAACAGGAGGCAAAATACCTATTGCTGACCTATCGTGGGTAAATGAAAAAAGCTCCCTGGTCCCTACAGGGCAGATCAACATCTTTGTGGAGTTCAGATTTTCCAGCAAAGAAAACTTCATCAGGCATGGCGGGGCACACCTGTATTCCCAGCTACTGGGAGGCTAAAGGGGAAGATCACTTGAATCCAGGAACTCAATGCCGGACAAGACTTCATCTCTAAATTTTTTATTAAATTGAAGTTAAAGAAGGATCTAGGGACCTTTATTCCAGCTTTAACTGTGGACTCCTTTCCTTCTTTCATTTTACCAATGAGGAAAGTGAGGCCTGGGAAGGGAGATGACTTTCCCAACGTTCACCTAGGCCACGGTCTGTAATCGTGACCTAGGATTTGCTACCTTTCAGATGAAAAGGTGGGGTGAAGGCATAGAACTAGGAGGTTGCCCTACCAACATATTTATAAAGGGAGGGAGGACCTGGGATGAGACAAATTTAGAAAGAGGGCAGAGGGCAGGTTTAACCAGAAGTCAGCTGTCTAATCCATTTGTCTGGTCCATACAGCCCAACCTCCCATCTGAACGTCAGCTTGTGGACGTGGGTGCTGCATACATTAAGACAGGCAGAGGCTTCGTGGCATAGAAATAAAAGTAGCTGGGGGTGAGAGGAACTAAGCAAAGGGGTCAAGAGGGCAAAAAACAAGCAAGTATTCTCTTCTTTTAGAAGCAGAATATTTTTGCAAATAAGAGTGAAGAGTGAAAATCCTGCGTTCTCATTTCAATTTTGCCATCGAAGTTAAGCAAATCTTTTTACCTTCTCGCATCTGTTTCCTTTCCTGCAAAATGAAGGTTATGGCTCGTTTCTAAGGTCTGTTGCCAGTGACATTGGGCTGTAAAAGTGTAAGATGATTTGCATCCTTTGGCACCTGCACACTTCTGCAGCTAAACTTCATAATAACACAAGCCTCCATGTGCTTATTTGTTTGTGTGAAGCCAAAGTTATTTGAGAAAGTGATTTCCCAGCCATCCCCTGGCTCTAGTGGCACCTGGCACCTCGCACCTCACTGGGAAAGGGGCATCATACCTCTCATAGCGTTGTAAAGGATCAAGAGGTGGGGCCAAGGAGGAACCGATTCCCTCCCTCCCTGATATCTGATGACCACTAAATTGCAGAACTTAATGCTGACTTAAATATGGCCTTTTATTTTGGCATTAAGCTATGGATGTTTCCAAGAAGGTTTTAAAATTCTTTGACAATCACTAGAAATTCAAATGGGCAGGGCCAATAAAGACAGTGCCTACTGAAGAGGAAACAGAAACCCAGAAAGTCATGCTTTGCTCAACACCACTGCCAGTTCATGCCAAAGCTCTGCCCTGCACACTCCACTCACAGCACACCCTCAAAGGAGATGCAGAACTAGTTACTTCTTTCTTCGTGTTCTCAGGAAAGGGAGGCCACGCCTTGTCACTCCCTCATCACCCTGCCCCAGGAGCTGGAAATCCCAGAAGATACAGTCCATATGCACCACAACTGCCTCTCTCCTCTTTCTGGGATCCCAGGAGCTATGATACAAGAGTTTAGGATGCCCCTCAGCAGCCCCTTCTCTGCAGCACTGAGCAGGAACACCTTGTAACCACCTTGCTTCCTAACATTCACACAAGCCCCTGAATCTTACAAGAGCCTTCGTGTTTGTCATTTTGTTTGATTTTCCCACACCTTATACCTGCATCTTTCCACTGCACAGATGAGAGCAAGATCAAGAATACCTATAGGGCTTGGTCTAGGCTGCAGCAGCACGGAACAGTGGCTGTGTGAGTCCAGGGAATCTCTGGCTGTGAAGTCATGTCTGTGATTTCCACCAAATCTACTAACTTCAACACAGAAATCAGCAGAGCTACTTCAGCTGAAACCTTGAAGTGACCCTCGTTTCAGACAATCGCTAATGCTACTCTTGACAAGAGAAATGTCTAGCCAGATCCTTTTCCAGCCCCTTGACAAAGTGAGCTAGCTTTTCCAAGGTCACACACTGTCCTTTCCCTCACCCAACAAAGCCAGCTAAAGTGGACATTGCCTGATTTGCAGCAGTGGTGGGGACTCTGACTTAGAGTTCCAGAGTCCTTGGCAGAGAATCTGCTTAACGCTGAGCCTTTGTTGAATGTACCATCTTGCCCTAGCATAACATGTGAAGCCTTGACATGAAACTCCCCCCTGTCCACCTCCCACCCCCTGCAGCCCCAGAGGCCAAATCCTTAAAGCCATACTTATAGTTGGCAAAATAATTCACCCCAAGCAGGTTAGGCAGGCAGGAAACAAAATCAGCCTTCACCTTCACCCTTAAATGGTGTTGGAATGTGTAAGCATCTGTACCTCTCTCATGCCTGTCTCCCTAGCACTGAGCACTATGCCCGGCACTTGCCCACTCAGCTAAGGGGTGAAATTCCCAGGGTCTCTGCTCTTAATGAGACACAGCCCTGGGGCCTGTGGAAGGCCAGTCATACACAGATGGTATCAGAACACCCAGGCAGGGCTGGGCGCGGTGGCTCACGCCTGTAATCCCGGCACTTTGGGAGGCCAAGGCGGGTGGATCACAAGGTCAGGAGATCGAGACCATCCTGGCTAACACGGTGATACCCCATCTCTACTAAAAATACAAAAAATTAGCCAGGCGTGCTGGCAGGGGCCTGTAGTCCCAGCTATTCGGGAGGCTGAGACAGGAGAATGGCATGAACCTGGGGGGTGAAGCCTGCAGTGAGCCGAGATCATGCCACTGCACTCCAGCCTGGGCGAGAGAGGGAGACTCCATCTCAAAAAAAAACAAAACAAAACAAGAACACCCAGGTAGAACCACTCCCTACCTCAGCCCTTGATGCTTTCAGAAAAGCATCTCAGTGGAGTGTCTTCAGTGAATAAAAGAATGCATGGAACTGCTTCCAGTGAATCCCTGGTCTCCAGGAATTGGTGTCTGGCAATTCCTTTACTCAGGTTGAAAATGCTTCAAATATATGTGTGGGAATGCCAACTAGAACACTGCACGTACACTGACACCTTTTTCAACTTTCTTAAAATCATGGGGCAACGTGGTACATGGAACACCTTGCCGCCCACCTCACTGGCTTCCAAAGCTGAGCATTCCCGACTGCTGGAATGAGGCAGGGCACCAGCTGGATGCAGAGAGCGTTGTGAACAGTGGCCTGGATCTCAAGGGAGCAGCTGGAAATTGAAACCCATTGGAATGTGCTTTGGGTTAGCAGAGATGACCTTGAAACCACAGTCTAGCAGCAGAAATCTGCACTCTACGGGGTACTTGCAGCTGTGATAGGGAGAGAGGAGCAAGCACTAGGCAATTCGTGCTGGAGACTGGCCAGCTGTGCTCCTCCCCTCCCACATGGGCAGAGAGGACGGAAATTATGTGAATGCCAAGGGCAGCTGAGCAAAGGAGTCATGCCTGGGGTTTTGCTTTATTAAGTGAGCTGAGTTGCGGGAATGAAGATCTCAGAGAAGCGGAAGAAGGCTGACTGAGTGGCGAAGACGGTGAAGGCCAGCAGCAGCCTTCCACACCTATTCCATTGTCATCGGATGGACAGCCAAGACAGGCACTTTTCCTGGCTCTTACTTATTATAGTCATGATTTGGAGCAGCTGTGTGAAAGGTGGCCCACCAGGAGCAAACAAAGTATGTTGCACCTTGCATTGCCCTTTGCCTCCATACCTCCCAGCAGAGAAGATTTGAGCCTTACATATTATTATACTTACTGTAATCCCCAAGAAAGAATGGGGGGTCTCTAATTGGTCCTACAGAGTTCTCAACCCTGTTTGCCCATTAAAATCGCCTGGGGAGTTTCTATAAAACTACAGGAACTTAGGCCTCACTCCAATTAATCGCTTTCGTCATTTAAAAGGCAAACAATCCAAAAAGCTCTCCAAGGTTAAGAAAATCTGTAGCTTAAACTAATCAAACCTCAAGAATTCCAGGTTGACCAGGTACAGTTTTTCTAATTGGAATGTGGGCAGAGGCCCACTCACAGCAAATTCAGGGTGAAGTAGCACAGATACTATGCAAATGTGCCTGGGTATGGGTATGACTGTATTCTAACGCAACTTTATGTACAAAAATATGCAGGGCAGATTTGGTAGTTTATCAACCCTTGTTCTACAGGAACATAGCTTCCATAGGTAGAGCTGAGTGGCATTTAATGTGTGTCAAAGAAGAATGACATGGTAAAAGACTGATATGGATTTAATGACAAATATTCCATATTGGTTGCTGAACACCAGAATGCTGTCCAAGGAACCATCATTAAATAAAACAACCTGAAAATAAGGCAATTCTCACATATACAAGCACACTCACACAAAACCTGTTACTTTTAGGATCATTAAATTATTCACTATTTTAACAAACAGCTGTAAAATAACATTACAGTGAAGAAAAATGTGCACAAACTTCAGAAACACAGTTTAGATTGTCTATGAACACAGTTCCTTAATTTGTATTTTTTCACATATGTACAGTCTCTTGATTGTAAAGAGACCACATGGCTCAAGGGGTTAACTTCTCATTTTCTCCTTCCAACTCGGAGCTCAAGATTTAATCAAAACCATTTAGCCTATTTAAACTGCTCCAGGTTTTGCTTAGTAAAGAGCAGCAGCAGAAGACTGCTCTTCACCAAATTCTCCAGGAAACAAATAATACACTTGCTTCCACCATCATTAACGAGTTGGTGGAAAAAGTCCTCAGATTAACGTTTTCAAGGGTGAACCGCAGTTAACAGGGTTTGCCAAAGAAATATTATTCTAAAACAAGATAGAAGAAACAACCTCCTGAATGCATTTGACCTCACTTAATGCAGATAAGTTCCCTGAAGAACTGTAAGAAAAAATGGAATCACATTTTAAATGCACCAATAGAGTCGGGCGTTGGTAGTTGGATTGTTTTCTTCTGCTAAGAATTTGCTCATAGAAGCGATATCAAAGTAGCAGCTGACTCTCTTATCCATGGTAATAGAAATAACGAGAGAGGTAAACGAAGTCCAAAGATTCCCACTGCCACTAAACTATTTTACATTAGCTTCACTCTCCACTCCCTGTTGAACCCATTCTCTAAAGTTGCTGATATGTAGTATATTTGATGCAGACAAGACCAGGCATAGCAATGGCAGCAAAAAAAAAAAAAACAATAAAATGGATAATCAATCCATGAATAATCAAAAGGTGGATGAGATTTCATAGGCACAGACTTGAGAGAACTTAAAACAGCTGGAAGAGGTAGATATACATGGAAAGAAACTCACAAAGCAGTAAGATTACCTAAAAATTGGCTATATTATTTTCAGGTGGGTCTAATATGCTTCCTATTCAGATTAAAATCAGAATTCAAAACGGACACTTGCTTTGCTCGTATTACTCCTGACTAAAAGAAAACGAGAATTAATGTCATTCAAAACTGTCTATAGTTTGAAAACCTATTTGCATTTGTGAATAACAATAAATTGATTCAGAGGGCAAGATCAACAGGCATTATGCAAGCCCAGAATTATCAGGATTTTTAAGTGTTTTTATAACCACAAAAACATGCTTTCCTACAGTCCCCAAAGAGGTTCTTTACTAGAATACAACTGATCAAGTATAAATTACTAGCATCCACAGAAACTTTGCTAAAACTGTAAAAACAATCTCGTAGCTTTTTCCCCCTTCAACTGTGTCCAATATTTTGTGAAGATGCTTCCATGAAATGTGTAGGGTAACAATCACTAGTGAAGAAAACAATACCGCTTTCCACAACTCTAACTTCTAAAGGCTAACCTAGGGCAGGGATCTTCAGCATAAATAACTGAAATCTACACAAGAGTCATCTAACTACAGCCCCCTACTAGAAATGGAACATGGCTAGGATACCCCAATGAGGTGACAAAGACCAGCTTTGTCAATAAGGACATGTTTGGCCCTTCTAGGCTAGCCTTAAGTTTTTCATCAAGCATAAGAATTTTCAGTGTCCTTATTTTATTATATAAATCATGACAGGCAAGTCTTCCTAGCAGCTGAGCTGGAGGATGCAAAAGGTCAGGCTACAATTATTCACACTGTCCTCAGCCTCTCTTCAGGACAGCCTGCACGCTCCTGTTCCCAGGCCTTCCCTAAGACAGGGGTCATAATACTGATCTAACTCACAATGATGTGAGAAACAACTAACAATTATTAAAAAGCATAAAGCACTTTGCAAATATCAAAGTGCTATTTTGGCATCTATATAACAACCAGAAAACATTCATTGTTTGTGCTATTTGGCAATTTTGCATTTACACCTCTCCCTGACTGGGCTCTCCTGGGTAAAGCCTTGAGATTTCTACTGTGCCTCCACATGCAGGAAAAAGACACTCTTACTTAGACTAGATCCCTCATATGCACGGAGGTGGGGGTTAGTGGAGGTCACTAACAAATGCTAAGTGAAGGCAAATGAGACCAAGGAGTTTTGCATCCCAACAATGTCAACACTTTCCTGGATTTCTCACATAAAGGCCAGCAAAACTGCGAGCTAGCTGACTTTTTAGCAGGTCACTGGGAAACTGTTGATGGTCTAAAGTTCACTTGAAACACCTACATCAGGGTGAGGTGCAAAAAGGAAAGTCACGCATAGCTGTGATTGTTCCTTTTCCCTGCACTTAAAAGACCACAGTTGAGACCTGAAAGAAATACTGGATGTGGCACACACCTGGGATGGGGCGAGGGCGGGGGAGGGGGGTCATCCAGGTAAACCACCTTGACCCAGCATGAAGCTAGATTATTTTCAAGGAAGTAGCAAAGAACCCGGAACAGAATCAGGATTTCCCACATCTGAGAACCAGTTATAAATGAAATTGTAAACCCCAGACATTGCCCCTTGAAATGAGAGTGCGGCGTTTTTCAGCCCACTTTCCCTTGGATGCCTCAAAATAGCAGCTAACTGTGGCTCAGAGAAAGGAAAAGTACATTAAATATCCTTTCCTATGTGACAAGGTTCCCCTACTTTTTGTGAGACAACAGGTGATGTGCGGAGACCGGGCAAACTCTGGCTTACCACCTGGTGGAACCAAGATAGAATCACTTATACGTGGTTTTATTTTGCCCCATAGCCCTCATTTACACCCTCTCCCTGCAGACTCCTACAGGACATCGCGGCCTACCCTAGTCTATTGCCCGCCATCCTGTTCCCACCCCAGCCCACGAACTGCCCTTCCTCAAGGTCCTCAAAGCGCCTGGTCCTCCAAGCTCTTCACCCCTACAGCATGTATTTAAGGAAGTCATCATCCCAAGCGCATCTCCTGAACATTTCTTCCATGGAGAGGAGGCAAGTATAGCACCGGGAAAGAACAACTCTTACTCAACCCTCCTCCCACTTCAGGAAACCCCGAACACCAAAGGCTCCCCAGTCACTCTCAGATTGTCCCTCCCGCCCCTTCCCCATTTCCTTCCCCTGGGTCAGTCCCAGGACATCTACCCCCTACAGGCTCCCCAGAGGGCAGCCTCCCTCGGACCCAGCCCCTAGCACAGGTGCAGCTTCTGGTGCTGCGCGAGGTGCGTTTTGTAGCGGAAGCCTTTGCCGCAGCCCGCGCACTTGTGCGGCTTGTTGCCCGTGTGGATGCGGCGGTGGCGGATCAGGTGGGAGCTCTGGATAAAGCTCTTGCCGCACTCGATGCACGTGTAAGGCTTCTCGCCCGTGTGCGTGCGCTGGTGCTGCGTGAGCGTGGAGAAGTCGCTGAAGCGCTTCTCGCACTGGCCGCAGCGGAAGGGCTTCTCGCCGGTGTGCACACGCAGGTGGTTCACCAGGTGCGAGTTACGCCCGAAGCCCTTCCCGCACTCGCGGCACACGTAGGGTCGCTCACCCGAGTGCGTGCGCTTGTGCGTGAAGAGGTGCGAGCTGACGCTGAAGGTCTCGCCGCACTCGGAGCACATGTAGGGCTTCTCGCCCGTGTGCACGCGCTGGTGCTTCACCAAGTCCGAGCGCCAGCTGAAGCGCTTGCCGCACTC